CTATTTATTATTATTTATTTATTTGAACACATAAATATTGGTACAAGAGAGCGCCAATATATATGCGCCACACAAAACAATGGGAATTCGAAGAGAAGTAGAAAGAAAAAAAAAAACTAAGGAACGCAAAAGAAAAAGAGAGTAATGACGAAGAGGTACAATCAGAAGAAATCTTTCAGGTAAAGGAGACACAACCACTTTTTATGAAGAAAGTAAAAGAAGGTTACAGCAGGATCGCCACTGGCTTCTATTCTGAGCCATATCTGATAACGTCTCTAGCCACTGTGTTGCACCATCTCTCGAACCCCAGCCAGGGAGTCGTGAAGGACCAACACAAGCCAGTCCTTTGCAGCTTTCTTTCATGCCACGACACCATGTCATGCACTGACCACCTCTCCGCTTCTTCCAACCAGTCCCAGAGTCGGCAAATAATGCACGACGTGGAATTCTGTGGGACGACATTCGGAGAACATGTCCAAGCCACCGAAGTCGGTGTTTCAAGATGGTGACACCAATTGAGTTATCATCTCTGTGCCCGAACACACGATGCCGAACCTCTGCATTACTAAAATGGCGTTGCCACTGAATGTCAGCAATCCTTCGGAGACAGCGATGATCAAACACAGAGAGTCGTCTAACGTCCTCAACTCGGAGAGGCCAGGTTTCACAAGCATAGAGCAAAACTGCTCTCACCGACGCGTTGTAGATCCGGCCTTTTACAGCCAGACTGACATCACGAAGGCGCCATAGATGGCCCAGATTGGCATAAGCCGCTCTGGCTTTCACTATTCGTGCATTGATCTCATCACTCACACCCCCACCAGCACTTATGCAGCTACCCAGATACACGAACTTCTCAACTACGTCTATCTGCTCACCATCCAGGGTGAGTACAGGATTGGGATCCTGCCAGTCTTGTAGAAGTACTTTGCACTTCGAAGGTGCAAAGCACATACCATACCTACGGACATTGATTGCCAACTGATTAAGTGCGCATTGCATGCCTTGGGCATTATCGCACAGTAAGACAATATCGTCCGCATACTCAAGGTCGAGAAGTCTTTCTCCAGGCAACAGATCCACACCACCATTACTTACATTCATCAGAGCTGTTTCCAGAATGTCATCGATGGCAAAGTTGAAGAGGAATGGTGAGATTGGGCAACCCTGCCTAACCCCACTGCTCGAATGGAACAATGGAGAGAGGTGGTTGTATGCCCTCACTCTGCCTGAGGTGTTTTTATACAGGGCTTTTAGGATGTTAATAAACTTCTCAGGCACACCCTTCTTCAATAGACAATCCCAGAGAACAGTCCTATCCAACGAATCGAAGGCAGCCCTGATGTCAAGAAACACTACGATTGTTGGCCTTTGAAAAGTATGGCGGTGTTCTAACATTTGGCGGAGGGTGAAGATATGATCAATACATCCTCGACCAGAACGAAACCCAGCCTGCTCCTCGCGAGTCAATCTTTCTCGGGTTTTGAACAACCTACGAAGAATGACGGAAGCCAATAGCTTGGACGCAATCGGAAGTAAACTTATCCCCCGATAGTTGTTACAAGAACGACGTGAACCCTTTTTAAAGATAGGGACAACTATCGACTCATTCCATGACGTTGGTACACTCTCTAGATCCCAAACCTTTGTAAACAACGTCGTCAATTCCTTAGTCAAAAAGTCACCACCATCTTTAAAAAGAGCCGGAGGTAAGTCATCTGGGCCAGGTGATTTGTAACGCTTCAAGAGTTGGAGTTCCTTGTGGACTTCCTCCTCATTTGGTGGATCAGTCGTCACCGGCCATGGAGGGCAGGACAGTCTGACCGATGTTACCGGAGCAGCAGGCCAGTTGAACTGCCCTTCGAAAAATTCTGCCCATCGTCCAAGACGTCGATGGATGTTTGTGATTGGCATCCCATCATCCTCGCAGATTGTTTCACTCACACCAGACTTCTTGCTGCCAGTGGCTCGGATGAGTTGGAAGAGCTTCCGGTAGTTACCAGATGCAGCTGCTGCTTCCAGCTCATTAGCACGCATCGACCACCAGGCTTCTCGGTCCTTACGCAAGCTTTGCCCGATTTCCTTACGTAAAAACCTTCGTTTATGGTCAAACTCACGGTTACCCGGAGTAGACCGACGGGCTTCAATGAGTTGTAAGGAACCAGAAGAAACCCAGTGCTTAAAAGCGGGACGTTTCGCAAACCCACAACTGACTGTTCCCGCCATTTTCATGGCGTCATGCAATTGCAACCAATGCTCATCTATACTTTTCGGTGGAGTGGTAGCTAGCCTAGAGGCTAGCTCGGTTCGACACTTACTTGCAACAGAAGTTGCAACCAGCTTGCTAACATCAATCCGTTGATGGCGTTCACTTCGTTGTCCACTGAAAAGTAAGGCAAGATTGGCGCAGACCAAGGCATGGTCAGAGTCCAGATAGGTACTCCAAAAGGAGCGGCAGTCTTGTACACAACCACGCCAGCGGTAGCTGATCGCGATGTGATCAATCTGAGTCCAGGCTTGAGATGCAGAGGGAGGACGCCAGGTGGCACATCGGCGATGACTGTGCCGAAAGTTAGTGCTAGCCAGAAACAGGTTGTGGTCTGCGCAAAGTTGCAGTAGACGGTCCCCGTTATCTGACCTGCGACCAACGAGTCCCCATCGGCCACCTAAACGACTCTCTTCTGTGCCCAGACGCCCGACCTGAGCATTCAAGTCTCCGGCTAGTACTACAATATCTGTCGAACGCACTTTCTGGAGAAGAACTGATAACTGGTGGTAAAACTCATCTTTGATTGCATCCGGGCTGCAATCTGTCGGGGCATAGGCGGAGATGACGAAAAGACATCGTTTCTCACGCCGATTTCTTCTCACTTTGATGGAACTTTCTAATCTAACAGCACATAACCGACTGTTAATGGGGATCCAATCGACTAGTGCTGCCTCAGCTCTAGCGCTTAGTGCGACACCAACGCCAGCAAAACCAGACGAAGATGCCACAGGGTCCCCGGATAAGCGCACGTAAAACAAGCTTTTCGAAGCGACAGATGGAGATCGAATTTGTAGTACTTCGCCAGAGTCTTGAATACGGGTCTCGGATAGACAACACACGTCGATATTAAGACTTTCCAAAGACATAGCCAGCCCTATCTGTTGTCCGACCTGCATAAATGTGCGAACGTTGAAGGCAGCCAGTTTGAATGATGCACGTGGTTTCAGAAAATCTGCTTCAGTCCTCGTATTCGGTGGTAACATACAATTTTCAACCGGACAGTGACTCGAGAACGTTTAGATACAGTCGGAATTCCGCCAAAGACGAGCCGCTGTATAAGTATAAAAGAAGGTGAATAATGTGGAAAATAATAATAATAATGATAATAATAACAATAATGACAATAATAGTAGTAATAATAATATTAGTATTAATAATGACAATAATTGAAGTGATCATAATTTGAATCAATTGATTGTTTTTCAAAGCGACAAAAGTAGTTTCCATAGACATAAACAGTTCATCATTTGTGGGTGGGCTATGATACTGCCCGGGTGCCCAAACCGAAGCAGGTGGTTATCTTAGGGGGCCACTCCCCGAGCCTTTGACCTAAAGGTCTAACCCACAAGGCAGTGGAGCATCGTAAGGAGATGCAGTCCCATGGTAGCCGGTGACCAACGATTGGTTCATACGCCATTCGTTCCCGCAGGATACTGGAGCCCATGTGCACCATTGGTTTGGAATCCGGTTAAAGCGCCGGACATTCGCTTCTCGTCCTCTCATTTTCGTAAACAACACCCCCGCCACGAGAAGGCAATGAGTAGGACTTCCCTGGCAGAGGCTATATACGCGTGGCCGTGTGAGAGTATTTCGAGAGGGAGAGCGGACTCTCCCCACTCTCGGCCGTACCAGGGCATTCAGGGGGCATACCGGATACTAATGGATTACGGGACGACGTAGACTATGAGAAGGTAACGAGAATGGAGTGCGACTGCAGAATCTATGTGCTATCAACAACATGATGACTATAGACGGCAGTATTTCTCCTGACAATCCCATACACAAAGCTACACAGGAATCACAGGAACACACTATAAGAAACGAGACTGACCACATCTGCGTCAATAAAATATTTACAAGGTGCATGTGAGATGTACGAACAGAGTGATAGGAACAGATTATGAAGACATCATCACATGGTATTAGTCACGCTGAAAATGAAGAAGTTCTGGGAAAATGAATGAACAGCGCTATAAAAGCTTAATATATGTTTTCTCTAAGCACCTAACAAGCTTAGAGAGTTCGGAGTGGGTCCGAGCAACAAGTTCCAAACGACATAGGATACATCTTCCAGACCAACAATTTCAATTTTGTAAGTTCCCATCAGGTTCTTAGTAATTGTGCAAACTACAGAAGTAACACACTACTCTCAATGACATTCAAAGTTCCCAACGGTGTTACTAAACGGAGTAACTTCAAATCAACACGTTGAATTTCGTAAGGTTCGATCATTTATATATATATATATATATATATATATATACATACATATATATATATATATATATATAATCTAGTGAGTAAGATAAATCAAAGATCTCAAACTAACATTAACCATTCCGCACATATTAAAAGTACTGGTTTTTGGAAAATGAATGAAAGCAACATGAGGGAAAAGGTAATGCCAACAGACTATGATTGTCTCAGCCCGTCCCTCAATAGGATACTGTTATACGGAGGCGTAAAATACACTCTCTTTTAGTGTGTTCTTTACATTTACATAAAGATCGACACAAATACACATACCCACATAATTGAAAGAAAGAAAAACTGTTTCTGAATAATTAAGTAAAATGATTATAAAATATTTAGTTTACACACAAATTGTGAAAATCATTAGTAAGAAAGATGACGGTAATTATGCGGTCATTCGCAGTGATCACAATATAAATTGTAACTGAGTTTGACATAAACGTACAAATCTCCTGACTAAGGGAATTACCGAGACACATCAAACTATCTTTAAATCTGCAATTTGTTCAGATAGTGTTGGAAAGTTCCACAATACGAGATTACCATCTCGACCGACTGAACTGAGTTCTGAAGCCATTGAACGATCACCTTTAAGAATTCGAATTTCACTGAAGTTTTGAGTAGACAAAAAAATAAAAGTTTAACGAGTCATAAAAAAGTTTTGAAACCAATGTAAACTAGGTGTGAAATTTAGGTGACAAGTTTATAAATGTAACAACTTATATTCGATCAAACTAAGAAAATGAAAAGCTTTGCATAAAACCAAATGAGACATGTCACTGTTTTCGTGATATCTATAAATTCTTGTTCTTGTCTTGAAAAAATGAAAGCTCAAAAGAATGAGAAATTAAAATAACACAGATAAGCGGCTAAAGATCTTGGTTAATCCCAACCAAAAATGAAACGAAGTCGATTTATATTTTTTGTAAGGTTCAGATTGGGGAGTGTACTTCAGTCAGTTTATTTACTGACGCTTGACAATTCATTCTGACAAAAAAGCATCCGAATCTCTGCTCTATTGCAACTGCAGATAAAAAATGAGTGCTATTTATTTACCCTTTACTAGCCTTTAATCAGCCTACTTACAAATATCTCTTCGAACTACTTAAATGTTTAGTCTTTCTCACTATATTTCCCACTGCATTATTTCGACTCCTGCTATTTAACTCGTTGATTTTATTTCGTTGTGGTAATGTGGTATGGGAAACAAAAAAGCCATGACAAACAACGGAAGCTACTTTGAGGAAGTCATTTCACTTACTTCAAAGCTTGTAAAATACTAACATTCAGTTTTGTCCCTAGTTCATTTTACAAACTAAAGGCTTTCGTTTGATGTATGATTCACTGTCGTACCCTTTTTTGTTCCAAAGTTATTATAACTAAAACGTAACCTTTAGTACTCTATTTTTCTACTTTAATGCCTAGTTTTGAACATAATTGTATTTTCTAATTGTTTGTGCGTTGTGGTCATGTTAGTCATATATATTATTCATGTACCTGAACCGGAGTGTGAATCGGAATCGGGAAAATGAATAGTGTTCCAGCTGACTCGTCTTCTCTCACTTGGCAATTAATCAGGTGATAGAACAGTTTCCGTCTCTCTACCCAAGGCAGTTAGTCTCACTTCCAACTCACGTGATTCTAGCCTCAAGGTTGAACCATTAGGTTTATCGTATCAAGGCTTTAATCTAGATTGAGACAAGTTACCTTCTGTATATCAATGGGTAAACAGATCAAAGATGTAACACTACCACCATGCAAACTTCAAGCAACCAGTCATATGCAACATGAAACCTAGCATATATGTGAATCGGTTCGAGTTGCCACACCAAATTAGCAAAGTGAAGTGAAATTAATCCAAAGTAGCAAAGTGAAGTGAAATAAATCACAGAAAAGTAGAAGTATTGACAGTACCAGTAGTAGTATAGAAGTCCAGGAGTAGAAGATATGATTCTAGGGGGAAATTTGGGTTTGTGGAACGAAAGAAAATCACAAGATAACTTAGAAACCCAAGATCTAAGGGGAAATAACGAGCGAATCCACACTCCTCATTGGGGAAAATTCTGATTCACGTCACTCAGTTTCCAACCACTGGTTACAAAATCCGAGCGGACCCAACCAAGTTGTATGCACCTAAATGTACGGCTCATTTCAATTGCTAGTGACCTTATGGACTGATGTTACATCCTAGTTTGGCTGCCCCTAACTTTCTACTAGCCTATTACCACACTAGACAATATCACCCATCGAATTATGCGGTGGTTTGGCATGGTGACATGGCTGTATGTATAACGCTATGCTGCTGTTCACTCAAGAGTAACCTTAACATAAAATAAAAATGAAGAACAGCAATCAACTGAACTTACTTAATGCAGTTTTGATGAATCGTCGGTAAACGAGAGCTAGTATTATCAGCTGTAGCCATGCGATCAATATCTTGAAATTTCTTCATAGCTGTTACCTTTCCACCATATCGAGATTCACTCTTAGTATCCAACTAGGTTGGGGAACAAAGATAATTCAGATAGCGTCATGAACAACAAATATAAAAATCTATAAAACAAATATTATTCTTGTTTCCACTAGCAATCATCATTCATTTCAAGCCCTCCCGATAAAAAAGCTTGATTACCAGTTTACTCTGTCACCTATGAATCAAAATAGTCAAAAATATCACTTACAAAACATAATCCAAGTTCGATGCAAACATTTGATGATATACTAATACGACGAAACCAATTACCACGTTATACTTCTATCTAAGATGGGCATTATTCAATACCTTATTGACTTGTAACCGTATCTAAATGAAGGCAATCAAACACATTTCCAAGCATTCGATAGAAACACATTTTACCTAACTAATTTTCTATCTAAACAATACAAATCTTAATCATGCACATAATTAGGATAGCTTTTTCTAAAAAGTAAGGTAGTCATAAATCTCCACCAGTCTCCTTTTATAAAGTTTATCTAGAGAAAAAGATTGGTTCGTTTCTGAAGAAAAGTACTTTATGTAAAACATACGAGAGGATAACTTTTCGATAAACCTTGATTAGTTTGTAAGAATGACAGATAGCGACAATTACGATTCGTATTTGTGTATATGCGCTTATGTGAGATGTCCTACGGCTCAGAGCTTATCTATATTTGATTCAGCATTTACTTAACGCGTTGAAAGAATCATTACTAATAGAATAAATTGAGACCATATATATAGTTTGTTCTATTACAAAAAGACATAAGGAACTCAATCTGAAAGGAAATAACACGAAATACACCAATTTAAGTTGCGGCGTTCCACATTAGCACAGAAAGAGGGAATAAAAAGAGGACATACTGAAAGATATAGATGTATATTGAGAACTGAAATACAAATATCAAGGATTTATAAGATGAGGATTAAGTGCGTGACGTGATAATATGTAATAGTAGCACCGTTAAATTATAAAAGTTTACAGTACTATAACCATTTACTTAGGTTATGCAATCAAACTATATTATGGGCTCGATTCCAGGAACCGAATAGGTTAAAAAATTCGTATCAAGCAAATTATTCTAATGGATAAATCCCAATCAATTACAATAAGACATGCTTACATTTTGATTACCTAGAAGTACTTATGGAATAAAACCTAGTTGTTATTGGACAAGACTATAAATGTGATCAACTCCGAATAATAATAGTAGTAGCTATTTATATACATTGGCATGAAGCGACTCGGTTTGTATTTAGTGGATGAACAGTGACTATCTACCCTTCCTGATTGAACCAAAACACAACAATGCATTAAAATACGAACGTACATTTATAAGCAAATCATACATACTACTTAGAAGTAGTTAGTCACTAAAGTCATTTAACAATACAGGACATGGTGCAGATGTACACCAGTTCAGTTTGTCATAATACACACCAACACAATGAGAGGAAATGAACAAAGACTACTACATCTGCAAGAAATAATGTTTGTACATCCGCAAGTAACAGAACTAAACCAAAAATTTTCCATGAAAAGCACACTATACATAAAAATGACGCACACATCTTTTTATAAAATAACAGGTATATGACAATCGAATCGACGTACCTGGTGAACAAAACTGATCGATTGGTCATTATATCTAAACAGCATAGGACAACAGTCGTAACCACCTGCTACAAAAGTTGATGGTCCAATCCAAATGCAACTGACGAAAGGTAAGAAATCAGTTCGTAAACGTGTAACAATAGGTGTGGCACTGATACTTGCATCAGCTACAAAAATTGTTGAATTATGCTTAGTCCATGCTAATTTGTTTCCATCTGCCGAAAATGAAACGCTTAGAACCCAACCACCTAAAATATAAACATATGAATATCTTGAAACATATATGGAAAATACGAGTATCAATAAAGATGAAAAAAGCCAAGAATATTCTTTCACGTAGTTATAAAAAAGAAGGAAAGGAAGCGATATGTATATGGATTTATTGAGGATGTTGAATCTCCAAATATAACTTATAAGGAGGAAAATCAATATTGATTTAAGATGAATATAAAGTCGACTTTGAACACATTTTTGCTGCATTACTTTATGAACTTTGAATGCATTTTCACTATGATTTATGTTCAGTAGCTAATTACTCATTTTTTATGAACTGGTAAGTTTAACAGAATAATTTCATAAACCTTAAGATATCGATTTAAAGACAATGTTAAAATTCTAAAAAAATAAAACAATTTGAATTTGTGTAATTAGTAAAAGTAATGGTATGTATACTATGAACTAGTCTACATATCATTTATTTAAAACACGTAGGTTATGGTTCACTACATTTTAAAAAATGCGCTATACAAATGAAGTGGTAATATTGTGAAGAAATAGAAAAGAGAAGGATGGCAGAATCAATAAATAGTTGAAGAGGAATAGTATTTGGTACCGTTCAGCTAAGAATGTAGTCAAGAAAGTCTTCTTCTAGTTAACGGAGTTCATCCTATTTTTCTCAAACATTCACCAGAAAACTACAACAACACAGCCACTGCATTCTATTTTGAATTATATCTGATAGCATCAAAAACCGCAATGGACCAATAGATGTCAGGAATATTTAATGCAAAGGCACCATGTCAAAAACTAATCACTTCCTTACTTTTTTTCCCCCAGTCCCAGATTTGTTAAATGATGAACGATGTGGAAATCAATGGGATGACAATAGTAACACATACCCAAGCCATCGAAGTCGGTGTTTCGAGATGGTAATTTGAACTGAATTATCGCCACTGCGTTTGAACACAAAGTGCTGAACCTTAACGTTACTAACATAGTGTTGACAATGGATATGAGCAATCCTTTTGGAGATAAGGATGATTAAATGGAGTCGCCAAACGCTAGTTTTCACAAGCATGGAGCAGAAACGCTCTTACCCACGGGTTGTAAACCCGGTTATATACAGCCAGACTAATATCACAGCGTTGCCAAAGACTTTCCAAATTGGTATAAGCCATTCTGGCTTTCACTATACGTATATCGGTTTCGTTTGTCATGCCGCCATCCTCTCTGATAACACTACCCAGATACATGAACTTCCCGACTATTTCTAACAAGTTACCTAAAAAGAATGAATGCGGCACGGATTCCTTTCAATCTTTCAAAAGTAATTTGCATTTCAAAGATGCACAGTACATGATGTACTTACGTATAAGGGTATGAGTATGTCGACAGGGTCAGATGAGTCTCCACACATTTTGTACATCGTGGCACGCAAACTTGGTGTTACTAGGTAGTAAAAGATACTAACAAACAGCTAAGTGATACACATATATTATAAAGTTATTGGTGTTGAGATTACCTAACTCATAAAGAGGGAAAGTGTATGATGGTATAAAATGTAGAGTAAGTTCACTAAAAATAACGAACAAACATATAAACTTTTAGAGTTTGTGATTTTGGTTTATCTCAGTCTGGCAATAAAAAGCAAGTAAACAATCAACGATAAGATCAAGAACAAGTATTTTACAAAGTGTAACAATTTGGTGTCATTTACCTTTCTAAAAAATTTTATACCTAAATACCAATTCCTTCATTTAACCCGAAAAGGATGGACAGTTTCTTACTAAATTTCACCTAACAATGTATAGTTTCGCATGAATTTGAGAGGGTTCAGACATAGCTTAATACTTCTCTATTATTTCTAAGCACATATCTAACCGAAGAACAAAACTTTAAGAAAAAAACAGATTACAGTAGTAACTATCCGGACAACTTCGCACATGATCATCACGATAAGTATCACACAATAACACAACATCAAGATCATGAAGCTTAAAACAAGGAATAATAGTGATTAAAAACAGGTAAACGAAACAAGATAAGTTTAAAGTCATATATTAATTGCACTGTAGAGTGAATGACATATATTTTTCATATTTTCCAATTATTTGCTTATTAAAAGGCTCTTGAATATATTTGTTCTTTAGTTTAATATTCCGTATATAAATGTGTTATTTTGTGAAGTCTTTGGATTATAACTGTGATGACAGTGTTAATTTATATGTTTCAGTGGGATTTACGACAGTGGTGACGGTTACTTCAGAAACAATTTTGACTGACCCAGATTACAAGTTGATGTTTTAATAGGATACGACACCGACAGCTGTGACAGAGAGATTACGTGCTATAACACCGAGTTAGGTTGCCCAGTCCTGAACTACATCGGCAACAGAACAAATCGCTAATAAATCTCTGATGCTCTAATACTCCAGGTACCACAGAACATGAAAAGGACTCAAACTTCATATTGCCACATCGGCCAAGTGATCACAATCTTAAAGAGACAGTAAAGGGAATGGATTTCTAAGAACTAGTCCTTACTCTGAATACAAGACATCAGTAGTGTTGATAAAACGGTAAACTGAAGACCTTTTTATTTACGTAGGCTAACGATAATGCGAACGCTTCAGATTAAGACAGCCCATGACCGATCCAAGTGTCTCATTTTTGTCTGTGGAATAAAGCCTTCAAGAGATTAAGATACCCACAAGTTTGAAATTAGCTAAGACCTCTTGATAACGCTATAGTTAGTTAATATGGAATGCCAACGACTGACAAACCCCAAACATTGCACATTGATGCTGTAGTAACCGAGACAATCCAGTAGTGTACACGATTACAAGTTCAAAGCATTTACCCAGTCAACCCCTATAAACCAACACCTGGAAAACATCTTCATAAACATGTTGTGACAGTGAAGAATGTCGCTCAAGCAAGAAACATTGTTGTAAACAATGCAACTGGTTATAAAAAGAGATGAGTATCGCGTATAACGTCCTAGCACCATCACATCTATAGCAAAACGTAGAAAGTCCTCCCAGCCCAAACCTCATATTCATTCAAAAAGCCTGTCCATAAAATTCGTAGATGATCGTGATGGTTACAAATCAACGAATACACAACGCGTCTGTAGCTAAATACTGCGTACGACACTATAACCATTTTAACGAAATTATACAGACACATACCCACGCTATAACTCAAGAAAACACCTCAGACTGTAGTGAATTGCGGTGAAATATTGTTACATTGTAATATTCTGTACCAAGGTAAAACCATCCCTAAATTATGCTACACTGTTAAAGAAAACCTAAATGTACTCGAACTTGATTGGTTCAGTACGTGTGGTCTGTATTTGCAATCCCTAAATAGCACTTCTCTTCGAGTGCAGAAGACTCTAACGGTAAAATAAACAAATCGAATCATTTCTGAATTTTGAAGTAAAGGTTGATGGGAAAACTAAGAATGAGGTGAAATATAAGACTGAAATATTGAAAGTCGTTTTTCAGATGCCAGAAACTCCCTACAGCCGAAACACTACCAGTCGAGTCAAAGCCTATGGCAAACTGTCATCTGAATTTTCAATTTCAAGTGCTGTCCGACAAGGATGTCCACTATCTCCATTTTTGTTCAATTTCATCATAGACCTACTGCTGGAGATGACTTTCTCGTCGTCTAAATTTTCAGGAATTAATCTGCTACCAGGAGGTCCACTTATCGACTTAGAATACGCAGATGACTTAGTCCTGTTTGGTGAAGATATTAATAAAATGAAGAGTCTATTGGTAGCACTCAATAACAATGCCAGGATGGTAATGATATAACAGACGGTCAAATAATTTTCGTTTGTTAGAACAAGTAACTCATTTAACAAGTAAATGTTCTTGTGCTTAGAATAAGAGTCATCGGGATTTAGATCAACTACTAATTAACAAGCATAGTGGTTTTCTTTATACTATGACTGTGAAGGCTTGACGGACTTGTGAGGGTTTACTCAGACGGTTCATACACTGAACTCCATGATTGAATATCATAGTTAATACAGGCTAACTATTGTTTTTTTGAAATGATGACCGCCTCCAATTATTTGGACGTAATTGTCTTTTGAAACCCCGTTGAAAAAAGTCGTGTGTGGGGCGATTCTTGAGATTATGGAAATTGTACATGAATACACAAATAGGGTGAGATGATTTAACCACTTATGTCGTTCGTAACAAGTGGTGAGGATAAGATTACCTCAACCACATCATTCGTCGTTAACTTTCACACTAATATTCTGGAGATAAACATGGAGAAATCCTAAGCCATGGTAAATATTTGCAGACCAAGAGGATGGTTTTGATGAAGAAAATAAAACACAATCAAGAAGTTTAGGTCAGTGTAAACTTGTCACCACCAGAAAAACGTTCCAACTCAAACTAATTTCAATCAGTGGGCAATCACTCTTCGTACATGGAGCATAATTTTGGCAAGGTAACTACACAAGAACGCCAGAAGCCTTTACTTTAATTGTCGTTTCCTAGTTAACTGTTGTAAGCAGTAGAGTAGTCCGTGGATGAGTTCTGAATATGGTGGAGCCACGTAGTCATCTGGTGAACTCCAGTTCCAAACCAACCGTGCACACGGGCTCCAGGATCCAGAAAGGTTAAGTGGAGTATAAACCTACTTATGGTAGCCAGCAACCATTGGATTCCATCTCCTAACACAGCACACTGCCTTGTGGACTAGACCTCTAGGTTAAAGGTTCGGTGAGCTGGTTCCAAGGAAAATTACCAGCTTCGGCCTTGGTACCCGGTCAGTATCCTAACCCACACACAACGATAAATATAATTATCAATGACGAAAACGCTTTCACTAGCTCTAGATGCCTACATAAACGACTACTGCAAGTCCTTAATTACATACAAACTCATATTATGATCATTTATAGTCCTATTTCATAGCATTTCTATTCTATGTTTACTTTTATTTTCGGACCAACACAGAAGCTCCCCTACAGTGGAAATCCTGTCTTATATAAACGACCTTATGTTAGTGGCTAGTAGAAAGTTGAGTGCTACCACCGAATATAATTTCTGAACCACCTTTTCTGAAAGTATGTATACCATTCAAGTTGGCGTATTTCAAAGTCTAGCGTCCTTCCTCTCCAACTGAAGCCTGAACCCAAGTTGACTACACCGCGATCAGCTACTACTAGCGTGGTTGCGTACAAAACTGCCGTCCTTCTTTGAAATACTTATCTAGACTCTGATCATGCTCTCGTTTGTGTTAATCTTGCGTCTGAGACCAACAACTTTATCGTCCTAAACGGATCGATGTATGTAAACTGGCCGTAGCTTCCATTCCAGACAAATATCAAACCGAGCTTGATTCAAGGTTAGCTATCAACCTATAGAAAAATATAGATGAGCACTTGAAATGAGAATAAAGAAAAACGTCGTTTGCAGCTCCGCAAAACGTCCCAACTATAGGCAGTAGGTTCCTACAGGTTCCTTACAGTTTAATGAAACACCTCAGTCTACTCGGGCAAACCGTATGAACATAAACGAATTCTTACGAAGAAAAACTGTGCAATGTTCGCGTAAGAACCGAAGACCCTGATGGTCTGAGCATGCTAACATGTTGGAAGCAGTAGCTGCATATGGCAACTGCCGGAAGCTCTTCCAACTCATCCCAGCTACTGACTGTAAGAAGCCTGGTGTGAGTGAAACAATCTGTGAAGTTGGAGACACTGATCAATAACACCCACCAACGTATTAGACGATAGGCGAAGTATTTTAGACATACAGTCCAACTAGTCTGCTGCTCCGGCGATATCGATCAGGCTGTCGTTTACCGAGTGGTCGATGACAACTAGTTCGCCTTACGAGGCACAAGTCCGCAAACTCCAGCTCCCGAAGCGCCACAAATCACCAGGCCCAGATGACTCACCATCCAAAACCCTTTTTAGAGACAGTGATAACTGTCTGGTTGAGGAACTGAGTTTTCCACAAAAGTCTTGGAATTAGAGTGTTTAATATCCTGGGATAAGGCAATAGTCGTTACTGTCTTTATAAATGGTTAGCCCTACCTATGAAAAAACTCAGCCTGTAGCTCTTCTAGGGCTACTGCCGGTCCCAAGCCCGGATAAAGGAGGAGGGTTGAGCATGGGGTCGGCAACCCCATCCTGCAGAAAAAAATCTTGCTAAAAAACGCCAATCAGATTAAACAAATTAAAACATTTAAACTCTGCCTTCTGAGTTGAAGGAAGAATTATGACGCCTCATGATGAAAGCCGAGATTCTTCGGCTGATGCCTCTTCGAACAACTAGAGCAACAATTTTTATAGGTACATGGAACGTCTGGGTAATGTGGGAGACCAGGAGGAGCAGTCAAATAGCAACGGAAATGAGGAGATATAACTTGGCGGTTCTCGAAATCATCGAAACCCATTGGATCCAAGCTGAAAAGCAAGGGCTACGTACGGTAGAGATGCTACTATACTCCGGTCACGAAGAGGAAAATGTCCTACACACTCAGAGAGTTGCTTCGATGCTGTCCAAAGAAGCACGAAATGCACTAATAAGGTGTGAGTCTCATGGACCCAAGATCATCAAAGTATCCTTCAAAACAAAGGATGAAATCACGAGGAATGTTATCCAATGTTAAGCACCCACCAAAGATAGAAATGACGATGAATAAGTTCACTTTTATGAGAGGCTGCAATCAGTTATAGTGGAGTACCCTAGAAAGGATCTCAACATCCTGACGGGAGACCTAAACGCCAAAGTCGGAATGGACAACACCGGTTATGAAGATATCATGGGACGAAATGGACTAGAAGGGAACGAAAATGGTGAGATTTGAGAATCAATGTTCATCCATCAAATTGGTTATGGGCGGTACAATATTCCCACACAAACGTATACACAAAGCTACGTTGGTCTCACCGGACCACATCATGGAGAACCAGATAGATCATATTTGCATCAGTAAAAGATTCAAAAGGTCAATGGAAGGTGCGATAACTAGGAGAGGAGCTGACAGATCACTAAAAATTGGTGGTTGCCAACGTGAAAGTGAATCTAAAAAAGTACTTGACGACTGGGGAAACAACATTACAAAGTTTCAATACAGCCTTCATTCGAGACAAACTCAACGACTTCATGATAACACTTAACAAGAGGTTCTAAGCCTTACAAGATCTACCTAAAAAAGAGGACAATTAGGGAGAAATCAAAGAAGCACTAACTTCAACAGTCAGGAGGTTCTGGGCCACAAGAAGCATTATAATAAGGTATGAATCTCTATCAAAACCCGGGAAAAGATTCAAAAAAGGAAAAAAATAGCAATTAACAGCAGCAGAACAAGAGCAGAGAAAGTCAAGGCACACGCCAAATACATACAAACAAATAAGAGAGTGAATATCATTGGAGCTGACAAGCAGAAATATGTGGAAGGCTTAGCAACGACAGAGGAAGAAGTTTCAAGAAAAGGAAATATGAGATAACTATGTGAGACAACGAAGAAACTAGCAGGGAAATATAGTAAACCAGAGAAACCGGTCAAGGACAAAGGGGGTAAGCCAATCACCGAGATTCAAGAACAGAGGAACAGATAGGTGGAATACTTCGAAGAACTCTTGAATAGACCTACTCCATTAAATCCACTGGACATCGGAGCAGCATACACAGACATTCCTATAGATGTCAATCCACCGACGGGAGGAATCAGCATAACCATCAAATAAACCAAGAGTTGGAAAGCAGCAGGACCTGACAATATACCAGCCGAAGCACTAAAGTCAGATATAGGAGCAACTGCAAACATGCTTCACAATCTACTCAGGAGGATTTGGGAGGAATTCATATGACGGACTACAGTGCAAAATCGTGCATGGAGGATAGCTGACAGACGCATTCCGAATGAGGAC